TGAATATAGTAGTAGGTATTTATACACACTTTTCTCAATTTCTCAGCAGGTAGTTTTGGTGTCGCCGGTGGCATCAGCATTTCACGTTCGCCTGTCCGTTAGTTCCACCCACCGTTGACTATTGTTGGCTCTTTCTTGGGGTCCTTCAGTGGGCATACTCAGATCGCCATATCTATAGAAAAACAACTTTATTGTATCTAGAAAATATAAATCTAGCACTCATATTACTGAATTTTAGCTAGGCACGTGGAAGTTATGCTGGAAAGGTTGTATTTCTCCAAAAAAACCAGATCAAAATTATTTGTTTAATTTCGAAATTCCTCCACTACATAGTATGTTTATTTTTACTTAACTTACCTTTCCATAAATTCTACAATCGGTTTAAACGGATAGGCGCAGGTTCTCATTTTCCTATCCTGGTTAAAATCCAATTTTTTGTGGAAAATTATTTATCAATAATCCTTCAACAAAACATGTTTTGTTATCTGTTGTCATGACAACAGCTGCGTCAAAGTCGCAATGACAAGAAATAAACAATACAAATTTAAAATCATCATGTTAATTCAGCTTTAAGCACTGTTCTAGGACACTTACATTTTGCAGTGTTATTTTTGACATTTCCGTTATTTCCTACTCTATCTTTTCTATATAGTTAGAAAGGAGCGGCATTCATTCTTTCATTCATCCATTCATAGAGTGTGAAGTTGGATACGTTAACATGCTCACCAACATTACATCACAAAACCATCGAATTATCGCTAGCGAGTAAAGTATACGGTAATTGAACTCATGGTATGATTTTAATGCAAACTTCATCGATCCACGTTTAAACTCTATCGACTGTAGTATACGAATACAAGTTTTCGATGGCAACTCATGGTAGGGGCACTGGTCCCAAAATAGTACCTACCCCTTATTCAACTAAGACATCCATTTATTACTCAGTGTCAGTAGGTAAAAATAAGGATTTTTCATGAAGTTATCAGGGTGGACTTATTTTTAGCCGTAATCTCACTTGTATGCGAAGCTTTTAAAGTTGTTAGTCCTTTTGTCTTCATCATTAAGGGCCATTTTGTTAACCGGAAAAAATAACTTACACTGTCAATAGTCTCATTGCAAATACTGCGTCGTACTTCAAGATACTGATCACTCAGTGCAGATGCAGATGCGACTGCAGCCTACAGCTTCCAATGGGCAATGAATGGCAATTTATGACCCTTTAGTGCCGAGCAATTAACCAGCGACTGAGCGTTTATGTTAGCCTGGTAACTGCGATCTAGCTCTCTGAATAGTTCTAGAAATCTGTACTTTTAAATTCAAATTGTTGGGATGTTAGGTGTTGAAGTTTGCAAGGATATTGTGCTGTAGAAAACATTATTTTTACATAATATTGTCTCTTAGTTTTAATGGAGCAAATGAATTTTATAAAAATACGAAGTTCGTTCGTTTCAGCCAAATGTCGTCCACTGCTGGACAAAGGCCTCCCCCAAGGTTTTCCACAATGAACGGTCCTGCGCTGCCCGCATCCAGGCTCTTCCCGCAAAAAATCAAAGTACCTACTTATAATATCTAACACTAGCTGACCCGGCGAACTTCATATCGCCATTAAAAATTATATAGTCTATGTTCATCAAGGTTAATGTAGGGTTTTAATGGTGAAAGAATTTTTCAAATCGTTCTAGTAGTTTCGGAGCCTATTCCATACAAACAATCAAATGTTTTCTCTTTATAAATTAGTATAGAGTGGTAGAAAACAACAACAGATTTCCAGCTCTAATATCTTTCCAAAAAGCACAATACACTTCGTTAATTAAAACTGGCCATCCAGACAGCGGAGCGCTTAAAAAAAAGTAAGGTGAAATGTATTTGTAATGGCCGCCGATACAAGAAAATACACTGGCCGCCGTATAGAGTTGTCAGGGCGGGGTCTCGTGATGGATGGCTTTTTGCGGGGAGGAGGGAGGGGCGACTTTTTAGGGGAACAACACGCGAGGGCTGATTCACGACCAAGGGAGCCATGCGTTCATTATTCCAACGATGTGTTACCAACGTAATAATACATTGGAACGTATTATTTTAAACATTTTATCTCTTCCGGAGATAAAAAATGACAGCTCACTGATTACGGACGCTTTTGTAGTCGTCGAAGACGTAGGCGGTGCTATTGATATTTTGAAATTATTTTTAATTAATGTAAATAGGCTCGTTCTAAATCAGTTGCTCCGGTGATGGGCAGGTTAATTCTTTTAGATTTTTTTGGGAGATGAAGACAACTAGAATTGTTAATTAAGAATGTTGAGATGGCAAAAAAATGCAGTAGGCTTGAGGTAGCAGTATAGTCAGTATAGTCTCCTACAGAGGACAAAATTATTCACTGGACGGTCAGTGTGGGTAAGGTAAGTAACTGATTTTAACAACTTTAGTCTGTTTATTAATCTCTATTATGTGAGACTCCTTTAGAAAGTCACGCAACATCTCTACGCACTTCAGATTTAAAAAAGTCATCGCGCTTTTGGCTTACCGTTTTTTTTTTCCTTTAATTATTTCTTAGCCTCCTTAATTGCAACAATAATAAGATCGTCGTCTCTTTCTTTCCCATACACAGCGATCCAGAAACGAGGCAGAGCTAATATTGCTTCTAATGCGCTGTAAATACGCGCGTGGAGCCGCGAGATAGCGCCCTGAACAGGGCTGCCACGTAGATTATTTAAAATAGGTACAAATAAATAAAATAAATAATTGAAGTGCCTGTGAGATTTTAAGAAATTAAAAGAAATAGTAAATTTATTGATTTTTAGTAGTAGAGAATGAAAATAGCAGTAAAATATTCGAGTAAACTCCAAGTATAAGATAGTAGTTTTAGCGTTTTCCTGTCTTGATTTCAGGTAATCGTTACTTAAAATTGTACAATGATATTTGTTATTCTTTATTCATAAATTATTTCTGTTTTGTTCAAGCATTAGTATTGGCGATATGAATAGACCAAACATACAAAATTAAGTTAGTAGAATAAAATTAAGTAAGTCATTTTATAACATTACTTCAGTAATAAAACTAAGTACCTATGCATGGCAAAAGTGTGAACAAAAATAAAACAAGTCATTTATTTTAGAACACAGAAAAAAAAAGAAAGTAATTTTCCGATGTCGTCTTGTTTTGCGAAATGAGAAAATCCTGGCTGATTTAACGCCGCAATATTTTCTTAATATTCAAAATAAGAACATCGCCGCCGACATTATGTAAAAACAAAACACGCGTGCCACAGAGAACACGCCGTTACACAAAACAAAGAACGCTCTAACTTAAGTATTCCATTCGCACGCCGCTTTTAAAATAGAAACAATGGCGCCATTAAAAATCCGCTCCCAGGATATTTTCCGAGGATCCCGTAGCTCGAATAAATCGTCAGCTTTCCACCGAAGCTATTTCCAAAGAGCGTTTTCTATTCCGAACCGTGCACCCGTTTTTCTTAGCCTCCCATTATAAGACGGGGGCCACCCCCCACCCACTGGGGGGCACCGCTCCCCCAAAAGTAGAGGTTAAGTCGACGTATAGGCCGTTATGAAAGTTTATAAGTAGAATGGATGATAATTATACAGGCTTTATGTATGGGGCGTGCTTTTTAAACGGTTACACCGCGAAAGAGTTCGGAATTGCAAATTCGGGCTGCGAGGAAATTCAGGAGCCGTTTATGAATAATTCAGGGAATTAGCGTTGACAATAGAATGAGGCAGATATGGTTATGAACGTTTTGCCTAATCTAAGTGGAAGTCACTGCAAAAAAGTTTAAATTTTTGAAACCTCATTTCTTCAATTTAAATTAGTTAGATGAACATTTAATTGTCATTTTCCCATACATAAGAGCAATTGAAAAGCGAAGAGCCTCCATTGCTACATCCGTCACTAAAGGTTTTCTATAATTCTCAATTAACGCTTCCAATCAACCACAGAAGTTTTAAAATATTTCTTTATAAAATAAATAAAAAGAGGAGAGATTAACAAAATGTGTAACATAAAAACCTAAAACGTAAGATGTCTACTGCGTACGTGATGCTATTTTCTGTGCCACTTATGACCCGTCAAAGATTAAAANGCAGATATGACTATGAACGTTGTGCCTAATCAAAGTGGATGTTATTGCGAAAAGGGTTTAATTTTTGAACTTTATTTCCTCAATTTAAATAAAATTACTAGCTATAAGAACATTTGATAACATTTCTCCATACTAAAAGCAATTGGGAAAAAATCGTAGTAGCTACCTCCACTGCTAAAACTTTCAAGACCATAACCCTCAATTAGCGCTTCACAACAAGTACAAATATGTATTTAAAACATTTAGATCTTAACTACAAAAAATAGAACATATTACTAGTAATATGTAAATTAAACCTGAAACTTAAGATGTCTACTGCGTACGTGTTGCTATGTGCTGTGTATGGTCCCACTTATGACGTCAAAGATTTAAACTGTCTAAAACAAAATCTGTGCCTTAAAACCCACCAAAAGAACTGTTACGGCCGATATACCGTCTATATGGACGGAAGCATGCCACAGCGCAAAACACGGCAACTCTATTTACATGTAAATACTTTGAAAAAGTAATTTGCGCCGTCTCCGCGCCGCCCTCGAGATTGCGAGAACGCACATTAAGCTCCAGGTGATGCATGATAACTGTTATAGCCGAATATAATTTTCTCAACCCCGCATCCCCTTAATCCAAGCGAAGAACCTTCCGAATTATTCCTACTGATATTTACGGTTTCGTGAATAAATAAAATTATGAACGCGACCCCATGATCCGGCTAAGACCACGATTGTTTATTGTTATGCCTATATTAAGTTATCTTTTTAATGGCCGGTGTGAGTTATACGGGTTGAGATTTAGGACTGTAGGATAAGAGTAAGAAAGCCGGCGGAGCTCAGATTGGATTTTTAAATTTAGATGTGATCGCGCGTCGTTTTTGTTTCGGAGCTCCGGATAAATTATTATCTCAACATACCTGAGCTTCTTTCCTCCTCCGAGTTACGAGTATTTTTAAAAGAAAAAACAACAATCTCGAATAAGCTCTTAGCTGTACTAACGCACTTTTAACACTGGCCGGTAAGAATCAACGCTGTGGTGAAAAAATTGAAATAAAAATTTGAGTTCGTTTTTTAAAATCGAACGGTCATTTTATTGCTAGCCAGGACAATGAGCATCCCGCAAAGAAGTTCTAAACAATACTTCGAACACAAAACGGCACTTTGTGCAATCCGTCTTTTTCTGAACAATAAACAAAGAAAGGGTGACAAAGGCGATCACCTCGAACCCTTTATTGCTTAGAACAGAAACCCTTCCATTGATGAAGAAAGGTCTTTTGTCTCACGAGTGTCCGTTACTTTGACGCAATTCCAAATTTCTTAGAAAACTTGAATGCGGTGCAACTCACGTAATGTTTTGTTTCGTAAGCAGGTAACATATTTGTTGTTAAAAAACGCACCGCAGTTGTTAAAATAACATGACTGTATTAGATATGGGTTGTAATATAATTAAAAATATATATATAAAGAAATGAAACTTTGAGCTTAATGGTTAGTAAATATTTTTAAGGTAAGATGATTCAATTGAAAGACTGGTAGAAAAATAATCTAGGAGGTTCTCAACAACCATGTGTGCTCATAGTTTGTCAAGCTTTGGCTATCATTTTCTTTCAGGCGACGGCATGTAAAACTAAGAATTAACTTCATGTAGGTACTTGTAATAAATGAGATTTTGATTCTGATTGGATACTGATTATAATTACACGAACCGTTTAACTTTACATTTAAATACCATAGAGAAAACTCAATTCACAAAAAAATACGCTCAAAATAATACACTTCTATGAAACCACTGTCAATTGTTAAAAAGTTTTAGTTCTATTAAAATAGGCCGCATCAAAAAGTTTAATAATTCCAAATTAAAAATAGAATCTTTCCAGCCAGCTACCACGTGAAACCGCGCGTTACCTCCACCGTAACACTCAAAGCGCTCGTCAGAGCACCCATTTCCATCCAGTCGTCATAACACTCGGTGCAACGACCTGCAGACCCCAAGGCTGGCTAGTAAAATGTTTATGGTCCATAAAAGCCGTCTCTGTGTCAAGGACACGACTTTATTGACCATTTTGACGAGACAATATTTACAACCCACACCCCTTTTGTAGAACAGATGCTCTGTTGTCTTAGTTTTTTGGCTGGCATTTATGCTAATTGCGATAAGGGTTACAATAGCGAAAGATGGACTTCATAGTCTTTTGAAACGCAGTTAAAGAACACATGGAAGTAATTCAGTCATAAAATGTGACAAGTCGTATTGCTTCTGGCCTTATATTATAGTTTGCGAGCGTGTTTTTTGTTCTTGCTCGTCTTTTCTATTATTTTAACTGCTTTTATAGGAGTTTATTTTTGCCTGGTTTATTAATGTTATTTTCATTTGTAATGGTTTACCTGCGCTACGGCTTCTTTTTCGAATAATAAGTACTTAACTACGTGAGTGTTATTCAAAGAACCTACTTTTGTTTTGACTACATTTCACGTATCTATTAAAATAAAATAAGATGGGAAAATAAAAGTTATGATTCGAATCTGCTAGGTATTTCATTCGAATTGTGGGTAGGTACCTACAGTACAAGTCCTGTAAAATATATATTTTTTTTACATATAATGCAGATAATATTATCATTATGCTAGATGACATAGATTTGCGTCACAGAGAAATCAAAGTTTTTGAATTATTTATTTGAGTTTAAATTGAAAATGGAACTTCGTTTCATAATTCAACCTTAGTCGACACGTGTAGGTAAAAACTACGGCCGTAAAACGCGCCCCAAGACAGAACACCCCAAATTAAATATTCCATAAAATCGCGGCAGTTCCCGAAGAAAAGCAATATCGAATACGCAAGTGGTTAACGACCATTTGATGCCCACCGAATGGCGCACTCGTAAAAAATCACTAGAAATGATCCAATTTTGATTAAAAAATCACGACCGCTCACCCTTGAAGCGCGCAAACGGAATGATTTAAAAGTTTTAATAACGAAATTCTAGTGAAATGACATTATACTTTCAAATTAGGAGTGAAAATTTAATTCAAAAGAGAGACAACTGGCCGTTCCGAGGGGCGAATGAGATTCGCCATCGTAAAAATGTACAAGCTCTTCTTTCGGAGTTTCTTTTCAGAGTGCAAAATTTATGCCGCCTAAATCTCTCCGAGGGAAATTAGAGGGGGCTTGTATTTATTAAAGGATGGTTCTCACTCGTTAGAGGAATTTTAATCGCGAAACTTTTCGCTATGAATGCGTGCGGTGGCGACGAGTTATCTTTTATTACGCTTTACGCGCTAATTACTGATGTTAAGTGGCTCGGAATTAAATCTTTGAGATATTCAAAGCCTGCGTTACATACAGAGGCTTGCTTGGTGGGTTGTTTACCGGATTACTACGCCAGAAGTTTCTGGTTCGGTATTAAAAAATACAATCGTTTTTCTTATGAACATTGTCTATTTATATTAAGTGCTACAATTATAATCATGTTACATGCATTTAGGTATTATGACTTCAGTGAGGTTTAATTAAAAACCCTGTGGGTTTAATTTAAAACAAAGTCCACTGCTCACAAAATCATTTTGTGTTTAACAATGCAATTTTTTTTAACTGTGCAAAGACAGATTTTTATAATTAAAATCAGTATTTCAAAATTTTATATTATCTTACTGCATATTGGTCACTAAAATAATTTATTCAATCGTAAAGGTTTTTTAAAACATTCAAACTAATTCCATATTAACCAAACCACCCGTTTCAAAACACCCAACTTATTAATCTGCTCTGCGAAACTTCACAAAAACTTTGCCCCGACACGAACATGCTTTTTAACTTTTAATTTCTAATTACATTAATTACATGCAAACAAACTAACTCCGAATGTGATATTGTCATTATAATTCGGGCGGTCATGCGCGCTCGCGGCGCATTTTCAAAGCATATTCGTGTATTCTAATTAAAATACGCTGTCGAGTAAGCGCTGGTGGAGCGCGATTATGGTATCTTACGAAAATACGCTTTTATTTATACATAAGGTTTTGAGATTAGCTGGTTTAATTACGCTAAAATAAAGAGAAGTAGGTCGAAATCGAGATTATATTTAGACAGTGTACAAATTATTTGACTTCAGATAAGGCGTAGGCGAACTTTTGTTACCTACATAAAAAACTTGGAAAGGGTAAATAGACCATTTTAGATTTTACGACTGTTTTTTTTTTCACTTTCAGTGACAGTCCGAAGTGTAAAATCGCGAGCTTATAAGAAGAAATAAGAAACTTATCTTCTAGGTATAAAGCATATTTTGTAAGTTGTATTTTTTACTCCTTGTTAAAAAGTCAACGGATTTAGTACTTATTTGTTGTTACAATCCTTTTACTAGTTGTTGACGACCGAATGCAATTTTAAGATTGAAAATCTAAGCCTGCACATTAATATTCACATGTGAAGTAAACAGAAATCCAATTATTTCCACACTACTCGACGTGGGTAGATCTCATTAGAGCATGTAAACGATTTAATGACACAGAGGCGTAATTATTTAATGAATCATTAGACTTAATACTGTAAATAAGTTGCCTTCACCTTCAAAGAGTGGATTTACACAGAAGAACAATTACATTATTGTAATCAAGTCAACGAAGTTTGCTCTATGAATTTTAAACGGTTTGGGGTTGAATGATGAAAGTAAAGAACATATTTATTTCTGACTTATTTTTCGTTGATATTAATGGCTTTCAATCATGTTTTTAAATCATATTTGAAGCTTTATCATTACGAATGCCTACAAATTTTAATGTGTTTGTGGAAAATCATCATCATCATCATCATTTCAGCCACAGGACGTCCACTGCTGAACATAGGCCTCCCCCAATGCTTTCCATGTTGATCGATTGGTAGCGGCCTGCGTCCAGCGCTTCCCTGCTACCTTTACGATGTCGTCGGTCCACGTTGTAGGTGGACGTCCCACGCTGCGTTTTCCGGTACGCGGCCTCCATTCCAGAACCTTTCTGCCCCATCGGCCGTCAGAATTTGTGGAAAATAACTTACGAATAAGTAAATGTTTCAAACTAGGTAGATACGGTGTCCCCTAGAATTAGCCTTTAATATAAATTATTATGTGACTATCTAAATAAGCTTTAAAAGAGATTGATAAAAACGTGTTTTAACACTTCCAGATAAAATCTTTTAAAATGTTTCAAATATTACATTTACATTCGGAAGATTTAATTTAAGATTAAGATAATTTACAATTTGTTCTAATTAGTAACATCAATATAAAGTTAAGATTTTTAAGTAATAATATTCCGCACTGCCTACATTTTAAAAGACATAATATTTAAAGAAATAACAGCAATGAATCCAAAATACTGTTACTGCTAAATCCACTACATCAAAAGTACGACTTTTGTTTATTATTTTAAGGAATCATACTTAATATGCAAAGCCCAAAATCACATCAAAATGTCAGTTGCATCGCATCAAAATATTTTTAATTTCGCACAAGGCAAACACATTCAGAAATAAACTTATAAATCCTACACATCTTTGAAGTTTGCTCAACAATCGTTAAAGTCACATTCGAATGATTTAATTACTCGTTCATAACGTTTATACTCGAATTTGCATTTACGTATAATTAGCTGTCAAAAATAAATACGTAAGAGTGAGTTATTGGGCCTAGTTGAGAGACCACCTGCTATATTATGCGGGTGTTTATGCACATACTTTATGAATATACGCAACTCTATGTCTGCTAAAGTAGAAGTAAAAGCAGACCGCTCTTTTGGTAAATTAGTGAGATTTAATGATTGAGGTGAACATGTAAAAGCAACGTTTTAGGTATTACTCGTATCTATCAATTGTATGTGTGTATTTGTCTAGTAAAAACAAAGGTACAAGTAAACGTGGCGTTTGCAACAAAAATGTAGAGTCAGTTTCTAAAAAATGGTCTGTGTCTCCATGACAATGTAGTCTTGTTAAACAAACATGCTACATTTATTTTGTCAATTTGATGTCTTA